TTTTCTCACTGACGTATACTCGGTGCCGTGTATGTACAGGGACGGACGCGTATCTGCATTTGTCTCGCTTGGGAGATTCTCAGGAACCATTGCCATGATGCGAGCCTTCTGTTTCGACTTTGATGATTATGACATGGTTGAATGATGAAATTAATTATTTCAGGGGATATTACAAGTTAAATTTGTCATATATACGTTTATTGTAAATGGATAAGTCACTGTCAATTTTTTATTTTCTAATAAAAATTGGCAGTTAGTCTTTCTTTTGTAGTTTTTACCTCACCAGATCAATCAGAATATATATATATATATATATATATATATATATTTTTTTTTTTTTAACATTGGCCTCTTTTGGCATTTCCTTCCTTCCTTTTTTTTTTTTTTAATTATTACTTGCATATGGGCATTCACAAAGTATGTGAGAAATTTTTTATTTTTGTTTTTGAAATAGAAGAGAGAAAGAGAGTGATAGAGAATGTGGGAATGAGAAGTTTTTTTATTTTTATTTTATTTTATTAATTTGTTTTTTTAATTAGAAATATGTTAGGATTACATGTAGGTGAAGCTATGAAAAAAAAAACAAAATTTGATTGTGTGAAGTTACATTTCTGCCCCATATTTCTTATCTATGTTCTGTTTTAATTAGAGGGTTAAACTGATAATTTCATATGATTTTGGTTGACAAAAAGTGTTTTCCTAATTAGTAGAGATTAGTATCGGTATTAAGGGGAAAGGGGGTGTTGGTATTAAGGGGAAAAAGGAAAAACGTATCATGAGGAACGGCGAGATCTATACTAATCTGAAGAGTAAAGATCCAACTTGGAACGAGGATTGAGATTTCTCTAGATTACTTAGCAAACATCATGATGAAAAAAAAGGAGGTTGCCTAAATGTAATTTGTAATCCAATGCGTTGGGAAGTCGCTCACCGCATTACATAAAAATGTAATGCGGAGACAAGAAGCTCCCCCAATCAAATGTATACGGCAGCCTGGCACGTTGGAAAACAAATCTACAAGCCAACACCTAACTGAGGCAACCCACATAACAACATGCCATCAAATATTTCAAACTACAAAATTTCCTCTATTGTCACATTGGTACAGTTACGCATCAATAGTCTCTCTCGCTCTCCCTCTCCCTCTCCCTCTCTCTCTCTGATTGTCTAATAACAGAAACCAATAAATCTCCATAGAGTTTCAAAAATCTGGTCACCGTGAAGATACATATATCTCAGTGCCTTCTTTGCTTTGCACGCTGATACGTCCCTTTCCCCTTAATCTTCCATTTTTCATTTCCGCCTGGCCGGTTTTTCTCTTCTATCTCGCGAACCTTCCGCTTTCTGCAAGGTTCATGAAATACGCATCAGCACAGTTAAGTGGTTATAATTTTAAGTTTGACCGTTTTTCGGATGCCAAAAGAATCATCCTTAAAACATATGGTTTCAGAATTTGGAAACAGTGGATGTCTCTAGCTATCTTACCTGTAGTTCCCAAGGTTACGATCAGAAAGCACTTCCTCTGCAAGGGACACCTTCCTTTCCTTCTTTGTAAGTCTGCCTGAGAAGAAATCTAATGGGGACTCTATTATTGTCCCTACCTGATAAACAACCAAAACGCAGATAACCTCGTCAAATATACTAATACATCCTAGGAATGGCTACTTGTAATGTTATTGTGATAACATATTCTTACCTGGAAATACTTGTTAGGTTGTGCATCACCCTTCTTGTAGTGTCTCTTTGGATCCATAACATTCCTTAACTGCAATGAGAAAATCGAATCAGCCAACTACACTTTCTTTAAACAACAATGAAAGCGTAAAATAACAACAAAAGGTAAATGAAACAATAAAATTCAGAAGTTATAATTATAATAAATCGTCGCAAATGGATAAACCCTAAATCGATAAGACTAGAAAATGGTGCAAATGGGAATGGCTAGGGGTTATGAACTTATAATCTATAATCTAATGATCGAGTCAATTCCATGATTATAAGTTCATTCCATACCAGACCAGACCGGAATAGGGATATACATTCTAATTATGAGAAGGGGTCATTCGAGCGTATCTAAATAGGTACAATGTTTAGATATGGATCTCTACGTCATTACATTCCATTTAGGATTAGGAATAGGCGTAACCGGACCAGCTTTTTACGTATCTCTCGTTATTTAGGATGGGACCCTAATTCACCTCACCTCTTTGGGCTTCGATTCCAGATTCCAAAGAACTACCACCTTGTTTAATGTTTCTACAAACACCACTTGCTAAAGTGTACCACAGAATGTGCTAGAATTTGACAAGGTTCATTCATCCAAATGAACTTGACAAGGACTTGGAATCATACCAAAATGTAGCATCAAATGCAAACTTCGAAGTTAGATCGGCTTTTAATTACATTCTCCATACTAGAGATTGCAGTTGAAACTTGAAAGCCTGTCCGATGTGAACTACATCCAAGGTAGCAGAAATTGATGCAATAACATGGTAACGACAACCATAAGCACCAAAACTTCGAAAAACACAGAGTCCTATAACCCTATTCAGCCGATGCATTGATGCAATCACAAAACCCAGTTAAAAAAAAAAAAAAAAAAAAAAAAAACCCGATGTTCATGACTCCAACATAGTGCCAAAGAAATTATTACCAGAAACAAAACCGAATTTAACACACCTTTAGTAATTGGAGATCTTTCTGCAACTCCGGGGTCATGGTTGGTGCAGGCATGTCAAACCTTAATCATATAAATTATTAAGAGACAAACAAACATATAAAGCCGGGTTGAAATCTTCCGGTTTGGATTAGTTTATAGTAGAATATCGCTCGCATACAATAAAAAAGTTGAACTTTAGAGGATTCCACATGGGTTTCTAAGAAAATAGAAGACTAAAAGGAAACGGAGTGAATTGAGCTGATGACATACCAGCTTGTTCCAGCAGTGTCCTTGATCTGTTTCTTGGCCAATTTGTTCCGCTTTACCGGGTCATTCGGCGGAACGAAGAGGCCATCGACAAGCTGCGTGCTGGGTTTCCAAAGCGGATTGCCTTCGGAGCGAGGTTTGGAGCCAGACCCACCTCCATTTTTGGAGGCCGATGAAAAAGCCGGCAACTTTGGCTCCCACGAGAGCCCAATCACCGCATTGCTTTCCGCCATTCTACAACGCAATATAGGGAATCAAAACTCGAAGCAGCGCCTACGGAAATTACATGCACAAGCTGATGAGCATAAATCAATCATAATTCCTAGAAAACTCATAGAAGACAAGAAGTTAACGTACTGGCTGCGGGTGAATCGTCGAGGGCGGCGGCTAGCTACGTTGCTTCGCCGACAATGGCTTCGGACTGAGAGAGTTTGGCGGCTGAGAGAGGGAGACTGAAAAACTAGGCTTCAGGAGGAAGCGGCGTCGAAGAGAGAGAGTGTTTCACCAGACAAACGGGTCGGCCCAGAATAAAAGCAGCAGCCCAATAGGGCAGAGAAAGGGTATTTCCAGTTATGCCCTTCGCGTGTATGGATATTAATTTGTTTTTGTATTTTTTGGAAGTAGTGGAGTGTCGTGATGGTTAGGGTCTTGTTCATCAATTCATTGTGTTTTCAGGCTTAAATTTTTTCTTCTTTTTTTTTAGTGAATTTTACATAAAATTACCACTTGTACTAAAAATTTAGAGAGCTTAACGAAAAGCTCACGGTACTGTTTACTTTAACGAAAAACTATATTTTTACACCAAAATGTCAATTATGGTACTATTCATTTTACCCTTTATTTTGTCATTATCGTTAAAATTCAAAATTTTCAAACTTTTTTCATTAGTTTTCTTAAAAATTTATTCCTTATTTTATGAAAAAAAAATGCGGTATTCACTATTCTTAATCTACACACTTGTATTGATTTCGAGGCTTTTTTGGGTATGTCATGAATTACATCAACAAAGTGACAAATGGTACTTTACATTGGCCCAAGACATTTTCTTTAGAGAGTTTTAACGAAAAACCTATGGTACTGTTCACTTTAATGAAAAACCACATTTCTACACTAAAAAGTCAATCTTGATACGATTCACTTTACCATTTATTTTGTCCTTATCATTAAAACTCAAAATTTTCAAGTTATTTTCATTAGTTTTCATTTTTCTTTATCCTTTCTTACACTAAAAAATCAAGAGCACACTGTGTCCTTGAATTGATGATCATCTTGCTAATCTAGCCTCTTCGTTCTTCGGTGTAATTTTATTTCCAAAAGATATGATTATTTCTTATATTTTGAGTTTGAGAAATTTCGTATCGTTGGGGGTGTATTCAATTGATAATTTGAGAGATTTTAATGGATTTATAAATCCATTAATTTTTATAGAGTTTAATTGATTTGTAGAGATTTCACATAAAATTTTGATTCAATTCCTTGAAATCTTACGGAGAGATGTGAGATTTGTGGATACTTAAAATACATTACGAAATCTCTCCAATTTCCTCAACTTTCTCAAATTTTTTAAAATCAATTTCTAATTGAATATATCTAAAATGTTATAAACTTCTTTAAAATCCTAATTGAATACACATTCAATTTCAAAGAATCGCTTAAAATTTCTCAAAATCCCAATTGAATACAATCCAGTAATTTTAGAATTTTGAATTAAATAGATGTCAAAGTCCATTGAGTTAACGAAAAGACCCTCAAATAACAAAGAAAGTACAATTTGAGAAAGAAAACAACTATTTTTAATTCAAATTCAAAAATCTATGACATGAAGTTGACCCAAGATCAAATTCAGGTCTCCTAAAGTCATACAGTAATATGGCCTTATATTCATCTCTATCGAGAAATAAAAAATTTTAAATTCGAATTTCATGAATGATAAATTCAATAGCATATTAAATTGTCTATTGTATAATATGGCTAAACTCTATCTCCCATGTTTGTAAAAAAATCAACGTACTTGGAAAAAAATAATAATAAAATTCAAGTCCCCTATAAAAATGGAAAAAGTGCCCCCTTCAAAGGCCTTTTCGATCGTTTTGTTCCAAATCAAAAACGAAAAGCATTCGCCCTTATCTTATCACCAACACCACCGTTCCACCACCACGACGGTCACAGGGGCCCGATAGACCCGACATAAGTCCCAGCAGCTGAGCGACAAACCAATCAATCTCTTCCACAAAAGCCATAAAAACACAAACTTGCACTTTCACTATCGCTATAACTGCCGTTGAAAGCGACTAGAATACTCAGATATTTTCAGATTCCACTCTTCTTCATCTACTCCTCTCAGTGATGTACACGTCCGAGGCGTTGGGGAAGTTCTCGGTTTTCAGAGAGACCCCTGCATCAATGGCGGCCATGAACCATCTCAGAGGTCCGGTTCGAATCCGACCCATGTCCCAGAACTTCATCAGCAGCAAAAACTTGCTCTGGAATCACGGAATGAAGTGCCAGTGCAGCAGCGGCGGCGGCAGCGGCAGCGTGGACGAGAAGTCGGCGTTTTCTGTGACTTCGTCGAGCAAGTACGAAGTGGATTACTTGGGAGAGAAAACCAAAGGGGATTTGAATGTCAAGGTGGAGCATCTCGAAGCTTTTGGTAACTTTATTATTCCGCTTTCCAAATTCCAGTGCAATCTTTCAATTTTCTCACTTGTGAAACTGCAAACGTATTGCCTGCTGTGTAAAGTTTTGATCTTTTTCGAAAACCCGTGTAGGAATTGGTGGTGATGTAACTTTGAAAGGTCCCATTGAGGAAGTTGCCAGAGTGGAGGCTGAAGAAGCTGGAGACTTGCTCAGAGACTTGGGCATTCCGGTGCTGTTGTTTAATTCTTTACCTGCTTCATTTAATACATTTCTTTCCTTTGTTTTTCGAGTAACGATTTTGGATTTTTCGCTCTGTATTTTTTAGCAATCTGAGTGTTAAGATCACAACCTTGTTTTCTTTTTTTTTTGTCTATGGTTGTCTTGTTCCAGTGAATAGCACATTGTTCATTTGCTTACGGCGGTACTTGTTCATCAAACTTACCATGTAGAATTTTTATATGCAGAGCCCTTTTTTGTCAAGGCAATCGCCTCGTGGCATCTTTTGTAGCCGCACATTGAATCTTCGATCAATCAGTGCCATTGGATATGATATGGACTACACATTGATGCATTATAATGTGATTGTAAGTTTCACCATTTTCTAATTGACAATTCTGCTAAAGTGTGACATCCGGATGTTATAGTTCTGCATTTGCTAATAACTAGTGTTGGAACCTCAATGCATTAGTTACCATTACATTTCTGGTTAGTGCTGGTGCTGGAGGAGGTGGAATTGTGGATTGTCTTGTCTGACATTAATTTCTGTCTTGCAGGCTTGGGAAGGGAGAGCTTATGATTACTGTATGGAAAATTTGAAGAAAGTGGGCTTCCCCGTTGACGGTCTTGCATTTGACCCCGACTTGGTATCATCTCTAAACAAGTTGAAATTTTTACGATTATTTACATTTATGCAAGTCATAAGATCTTTGATTTACATTTTTCTTCTCCACTTTTGTTCTATATTTTTCATATAGGTTATTAGAGGCCTTGTCATAGACAAAGAGAAAGGAAACTTGGTGAAGCCTGATCGATTTGGTTATGTTAAAAGGGCTATGCATGGCACAACCATGCTATCTAATCGAGCTGTAAGGTACACTTGGATCCTTTTTCTGATTATCGAGAAACAGTGGAGAATGTGACTCACTTTTATTGTCATCCCATGGATTTATGATTAGTCTCACACTAATAATACAAATTCAGTATTCTGATAAAACTAACAATAAGGTTCCAAATGAATTTCCATATGCATTATATGCATTACTTTGTAACATTGTGTATACGGCGCTTAGGTTCTTCCAGCATGTAGCTTCTTAGTATATTATTTCTGGAAAAGTATATTCTGTAGTGTGGCCTAACTTTCTTTCATTGAAGTGAGATGTACGGTAGGGAACTGGTGGACCTCCGGAAGGAAACTCGATGGGAGTTCCTTAATACACTGTTCTCTGTCTCAGAAGCTGTGGCTTATATGCAGGTATCGCCTTATCGGTGTTTTCTTTGCTAGATCACTGTTTTAAACATTGTTGTTATTATTTCTCAGATTTTACTTATGTAGATTGACTCTTCATTCTTTCAGATGGTTGACAGATTGGATGATGGAACCATAGCTGCAGAAATTGGTCCACTTGATTATAAAGGGCTCTATAAGGCAATATGCTCTGCCTCAATTATATAGAGCTTGGGCTTTTGGTTTTTTCTTGCTCCTTTTTAACTTTTGACATGATTTCAGGCTGTTGGAAGAGCCCTCTTCCGGGCACATGTCGAGGGTCAACTGAAGGTTATTATATTTATAATATTTATTATTTGTTTAATGGATAAGATCAGATATTGGTTCATGAACACGAACTTATTTTGGCATATATGCAGAGCGAGATAATGTCTAAGCCTGAACTGTTTGTGGAGCCTGATCCAGAATTGCCATTAGCGCTTTTGGATCAAAAAGAGGTTTGTCTTATAGAATCTCATCTTTTTTGCATAGCATGTGGCTATTATTTAACTCCTAATTTACTTAGACTTATTTGTGCATTAGGCTGGTAAAAAGCTTCTGCTCATTACCAACTCAGATTATCATTACACAAACAAAATGATGCAGCATTCCTTCAACAGATTTCTTCCCAATGAGATGGGTTGGAGGGATCTATTTGACATTGTAAGTCAACTTCATCCATCTAGTTTTAACTTCGTTCTACATTGAATAATAATTACTCTTGGGCCTCTGCTACAGAAGTCTATTATAAATAGTAATGATCTTCAGATTTGTAACGAGGTGTCAACAGCAGTGAGTTACACTTTTTGTTTATTACGCTCATATGCAGGTAATAGTCTCTGCAAGGAAGCCAGAGTTCTTCCAAATGTCACACCCAATGTACGAGGTAGTGACGGGTGAGGGCCTCATGCGTCCATGCTTCAAGGCTAAAACAGGTGATAATGGCTAACGTTCGGTACTTCTGCTTGTTTAGCACTGAATATCTTAAACTTGTTTGAGCAAATGTTGTTGAACATGCTTTGAATGTGTCTAGGATAAACAATTTCGGAAACAAAATTGCATGTGATTGTATGGACACTAATGTCTTCTCTTAGTCTTGGTAAATGGCTGGTGACATATAGTATTCATGACTCAAAATTTGTAGTGAACTTTGTTGCGTCGAAGCACACCAGCTGATCACACATACATGAGTGTCAGTATTGCAGATATTTCCCCCCACTTTAGCCACCTGGGAGGTAAATGGGTGTGGGATTTTAACAAAAGGCCTCGGCAATAGTGTGTGTGGTATTACTGCTTATAAACCAATAGATGATTATGCTCACTTCCAATGTGGGACTCAATTGTGGCTCTAATCTCAGCCACCAAACTCCAAGAGCTTTATGTGCACGGAAGAAATACAGTGAATGTGCAGGGATAATACCTGATTGGATACACATCTTCATGGTTATAGTAGAAGAATTTGGGTGCATGTATTAAGGCACACAGCTTGCCAGGATCGCCTGACTATTCGTCTGTGCTTTGCATGGATCAGATTATTTGATTAATTTATACTTAGTTGACATTGAATTAACAATCTCATTCTCATTGAAATGTCTTCTTTCTGCAGGGGGCTTGTATTCAGGGGGAAGTGCTCAGATGGTTGAGAATTCCCTAAATATCCATGGAGATGAAATACTGTATGTTGGTGATCATATCTACACAGATGTAAGTCAATCCAAAGTTCATCTGCGATGGCGAACAGCGTTGGTTTGCCGAGAATTGGAAGAAGAGGTTTGTGTAGTTGATTTCTCTTTACATGCAAGAGTTGATAAAGGGAAAGTGAAACTAACAATGTGGCATAACTCATAATATAGTACTGCCTAGACCAAACATCGAGACTACAAAATTAACCCGCCTTTATATAAATATTTCTGTTATTCCAGAGACCAAACACCTGCGAATGAAATTTGTAATTTGGTGTCCTAGTAATTGGGATTTTAATATCCTTGAACTGTTGGATGCTGATAAACGTCTCCATTTGTTTCATGAAATTTGGAAACTGCAGTATAGTGCTTTGATTCAGAGCCGGGGTCATAGAGCGGCACTAGTAGATCTTATAAACCAAAAGGAGGTCGTAGGGGATCTTTTCAACCAACTTCGGCTCGCCTCACAAAGGCGAACTAAAGGGCGCCCTGCTCAAGTAAGCTTTATCTTATGAATTTTTGCCTATGTTTCTAGTTAGCTATAAGCTAAATTGGTTTTGTTTTGAATCATCAGCATTCAGCAAGCAATGTGAATGCCCAATCGAAGAGTTATGGAACGTAGTGCTTCTTAATTTTATCTGACATTTTCTGTACTTTTAGACCCTTGCTGCAACAAACTTGGAGGATCAAGAACTCTCAGAAAGCATGCAAAAGCTACTTATCGTTATGCAAAGACTAGACCAGAAAATTGCTCCGATGCTAGAAGCAGATGGAGAGCTCTTCAACAAAAGGTAAGAATTGATTTTTCATTTCGAGGGTTTATCTGTGGAAAATGTTTCAGTCATGTGAACATACAGTTGACCTTGTGAACCTACTGTGCATTAGGTGGGGATTTCTTTCCCGTGCAGGTTTCTGGGATAAAAGCCATTTGATGAGGCAAATTGAGAAGTATGTACTTTCTTCCGACATGTTCATCTTTCGTTAATGTGAACAGACGTTAAAATTGAAATTATGAGTGTCCTCATTGACAGTGATTCTCTCAATTCCGTTTCCATCTTTACAGGTATGCTGATATATATACCTCCAGGGTGTCCAATTTCCTACATTATACACCGTTCATGTATTTCCGATCACAGGAACAGGTAACTCAACTATCACGGCTTTCTTGTATCGTGCTTTCTGTGAACTACTAGACACCATAGGTTAAATTGTAGAATGAACCAAACTGTCTTCTTCTCGTGCAACCCTGCACGATGAAATGCTGACAGAGAACATGTGGGTGTACCTCCACTCTGCATTCAAACTCGGGATTTTTCGTAACCAAACCAAAATTCTGATGCCGTGATAACAATATAAAAAGAGACCTACAAACTCGAAGAAGATGCAAATTAAGCAATATATTACACGCACACACAACCCTATTGTTTTCATGGCTACAGCCTTTGAACGAACACTTATATCCTTTCATCCCTGCAGACACTTGCTCATGATTCGTACTCATACTACTGTTCGAGGTCTAATGGGCCTGCCATGGACGATGAGGTCAACTTTATGTCGTAGAAACTGCAATTTTGTTGTAAATATTGATCAAGTTGACCAAGTTGATCACATTGATTTTTATTAGATTATCCTAAATCGAGTGTTGGTCTGTATGATGATCCAGCACGAAACAAATAATGTTTTCCATCTCACCTTAACTCTGTTAAGTTCTCCAATGATGAGTAGCTTGTTTATGCCCTCGAGCATTTATCTTTAGTGACGGATTTACTACACAAATGTTATTTAACTTATTTTTACTAATTTAACCATTATCAATTCAGCTATGTCAAGGCTCAAACGAATGAGGCAAATTGACATATTAAACCGAATATCTCACTCCTGTGTGGCATTGTTTGATAACAACTCATATGAAATGGATTAATTATTTCATTACCACGTCATATTTTAGTTTAATAATGTAATGTGACAGTTTTTGCATATGACATATAAAAAGGTTTAAACATAATATTATATTATTGAATCACGACACCATAATAATTGTGAGTTTGTTTTATTTAAGTCTTAATCTATTTCTTCATTCCTTTAATGTAAATAATATCGTCGTTTGTTACGAAAAAAAATGATTTTTAGGATTTATTAGGGTTTATATTAGAGTGAGTTAAATAGGAGTAGAAAAATCGAACCTATCCCCTCAGGAAGCATTGTCGTTTCCAAATTTATACGACTTGTCGAAGTTCAAATGGGTTTTAGAGGAAAGGGCAGAAGCTGAAAACAAGAAGCAATCTGGAAATGGAGATGAAGAAGCTGAGATGGGCAATGGACGGCAGCTTTTGGGACCTCGACGTGTCGACTCCGAGGACCCTCGACGGACTCGTCCGACCTGTTCCTGGCGACCCACTTCCTCTGGGCCTCACCCGAGGACCCAGGTTATCCCGGCCCAAGCAAATCGACTTCATGCAGCGCTTCATGGCCTCCATTTTCGCCCCTTCCTACACCGCCGCTGATGGCTTCACTCTCCAGCGAGTCCTCACCCTACCCATTGGCGAAAATTGGTACCCGCCGCCAAAACCCACCTCAATTTCCCTTTTGCATTTTTCAAGTTGAATCACTAATTCTCGATTTGAAAAGCTCGCTGTAGGTTCGGGACGCTTTTGGGTCAGTTCAATTTGCAGCGGTTCATCTCCGCCGTGAAAAAGAGTGGGAAGGAGGCGCCGCCAGACTCTGTATCTACGTGGATGCAAAGCATTGGAACCCACCTGCGAGAGAAGTCCCTGTACGCCCTTTCCTTCTGTTCTGAGTTTTGGCTAACAGCTGATGACACATTGGCTTTGAGTGTGGACGGTTATGGCGACGACAAGAAACCCCGAAAGAAAGCACTTTTTCAGCACAAGGTGCTTTTTTTTTAATTTGGAAATTTCTCAATTTTGTGCCCTAGTTGCTGAATTTGTAGTAATGCTGTGAATAATCATGTACATTGCAGTTTCCTCATCATAATTTGACAGTGGAGGCAGTTTGGCCCGGGCTTTTCGTTGACAAGCCCGGAAACTATTGGGATGTGCCATTTTCAATGTCACTTGATCTGGCTTCGGTTGCTTCTGATTCCGGGGCCAGTTATCGTGTATGTGCACGTCATAATTCAGGGACACCCGAGCTGTTTGACAGTGGCCAGAGCGATGGAGTTCCTGTTACCCTGCTTCCCGGTTTGTCTGTCACAAGTGCATTTTCCTTTAAGAAGAACTTTGAGCTTTGGAGGAGTCATACTCAGAAGTTGAGAATGGTCCAACCATTTGATGTATTCCTTTCAAATCCTCATGTTTCGGCTTCTGGGATTATTGGTAAGGCACTGCCATTGCTGAATTGTGCAGGTAGTTGATAAGGAAGGATTAGGGAAGGAAGAAGAGGATGAGTTTTTCTATAAGAATTTAGTTAAACACCCTTTGGCGTATATAAAGGAGAAATCTTTTTCCGGAACTTATAAGAAACCACCAGTTGTAGCATTAGTAATTTAGATATTTGCTCGTTAATTGGGATCAAGTAGTCCTGTGCCCTTCGCTGTCGAATACAATTTTTGTCAGAGTTGTCTAGTGGCATGTACTCTTAACTGTACAGAGGAGTAGGGGGTGATTGTGTCTTGTGTGCAGAAACTGCAGTATAATTTTGCTTATGTTCATTGTTTACAAACCTATGACAATTAGGTTTAAGGTCAGTTGGGTTGAGTAGTTTTATTGCGGATGCTTATGATGCCAAACTGGTGCATGCAACTCTTACTAATTGATATTTTTCAAATCCATTTTTTCAAACATAGGTGCTGTGATGACTGCCTCGTTTGGTGATAGTTGGGTTAGGTCACAAATTGCAGATGATGATCCTCAGGGTTTTAGAGGTTTTAGTTTTCGGGCTCCTGGAGTAAAATCTGCCTTTCTATCAGATATATTTGCATCAGCAACATTTACAGCCCAGCATGGAAATTTCCAAAAGCTATTCCTAGATCTTTCCCGCTTTCATGCCCGCCTGGATTTTCCTTCTGGTTCTAAGTTTCTTTCAGGTGCAGCACATCTAGCACAAGATTATTTCAATTCTCAACAGCCAAATTTGGAAGCTATTCAGGACATTTGCCCCAATGCCACACTTTCTCTTCAGCAGCAGGTACCTATACTTCTCTTGTACTAGTTCTATCTTCCACTTTGGCAGAACTGACGTCAATTGCGATTTCAGAAAAGCTTATAAGTTGAATAACTTGTTCTTATACCGTATGTTCCTGTGTTGAACTTGGGCTGCACCATCGTAGTAACTAGGATTTGCTTCTGTTTTGGATGTTGAACCTGAACGGTGTTGACATGAATGTTATCTCTGAACCGTAACGATATCTGCATTTTCTTGCAGATTTGTGGACCTGTCAGTTTCAGGGTTGATTCAGGAGTTGCAGTTGAACTAAAGAACCGAGACTGGAATATACGCGTGGACGAGCCGGTGTTTGCTCTTGAATACGCGCTGCAAGTCCTCGGTTCAGCCAAAGCTGTCGCTTGGTATTCCCCAAAGCACAAGGAATGCATGATAGAGCTTCGTTTTTACGAGACATAAAACCATGTCGTATTGTGCAGTGATAGGGTTTGTACTGTTGGATCGTTTTGAGGGAGATTCTCCCATTACTGCAAAAAAATTTATTCACCATTTCTAAATGTATTAAAAAAAAAAAAAAAAAAAAAACTAACGAAAATTATTAAAAACTTTAGTTTTAATGAAAAATGACAAATAAATGTATAAGTGAATAGTACTAGAAAGGGTAAAAATGCGGTTTTTTGTTAAAAGTGAACAGTACCGGGAGTGTTTCATTAAAACTTCAAAAAAAAAATTATTGCTGATTTTTCTCCCGAGCTTGGAAGAAGTTGTCAATCTCTTCTCTCCCCTCACCCCGAACTTTAACTTTTATAATTAGTCAATTTCTCTTTGAATTTTAACTTTTCTTCTCTCATTGACAAATACCTTCACATATTACTGATCGTACTTAACCATGACCACCTAATTGTGGCAGTGAGCTTTCATTCCGCATTTGTTCTCAAAACACGATTTGTCCCTCCAAATAACAAGGCAAATTTTAGGATCAAACATGCATGATTGCTCCATTTCCATCATTGTCGTAAAGAAAGTTGAAAATTTATGAAACTCCAACGGATCCTTGTTCGTTAACTCTTGCTCTATATTTAATTTTTCTTTTTTTTTTTTTTTTTTTTTAAAGGGGAAGACTTTGACATTTGCTTCCATTGGTCGACAACATAAGCTACGTTTGGTATGTGCCAAAAGCATGAGAATACTTTTGCCTATTCCATATTTATAAGTTCAGGTTTTAGAAACGATTTCCTGACTCACGAGAAAATAGAGGGAAGTGAAGCCCTTCACCCCCTTTGGATGAGGATCCTCTCCTAATCTAAGGATGAGGATCCTCATGATGAAGAGATGTGGACCATTGGATGAAAATTCAAAGGTTATGATTATTATAACTTTAAAGGAACCTTCCTGTTTGTAGCTGTTGAATTGTCATCCAACGGCTCACATCTCTTAATCATGAAGATCTTCATCCTTAGATTAGGAGAGCATTCTGATCCACCCTTTGGTATTCGCTTTCCTTCCACACACAAAAAATAAAAATAAAAAATAGCTCGTACGTAATTTCTTGTCGTTATCGATAAGGACACATGCAAAAATAAAAAAACTTGGATTAAGGAACAAGAGACCCCCATATTAGGGATTACAATAAAATATGTTTTATCCGTAAACGACACAAAATCATGGTGTATACAGACATTGGTGTTCATGATGTGCAATACGATGATCAACCGCGTTAGATCCGTGTGGGATATAATCAGTAATTAGCAACAGAGATGTGAAGGTTTATGTTAGTATAATCCTCCTCATTAATTTTTTAATTTGGTGCATGCACTTGTCAATCTTCATAGAAGCAGAATGCGGATCCTCTTTATGAGGATCTCGAGATCTTCTTATTACGTTTGTTTATCATATATTATGCGATTAATTTTCATCAAGTAATGCTTATATTTAATTTTAAATAAAAAATTTACAATAACTTATGATCGTATGATATACGATAAACGAATATAATTGGAGAATCCTTAGGATCCTCACAAAACAGATCCAAAAAGGTCCTCATTCATAGAAGCGGACATTAACAATTGCAACGTTAATTTTTTCTTTTTAACAATTAAATATTAATTTTTATGCACACAACTGTTGTGATAAAAAGAATTAATTAATTTCTTAATTTTAAAAACACCTCAAGAATCATTACTCAGTACTATAGTATGATGGTATTCCTCTTTACTTGTGAGTAAGAGTTCTTAGGTTTGAATTTCGTAAATAGTGAATTCGTTACCAAATTAGGTTATATATTGTGTGGCATAACCGAACCTCTCTCCTTAACGTAGAATATATCGTTGTATTAAAAAATAAAAAATAAAATATTGAAATAAAAAACACCTCAAGAATCTTCCGTACTTATACAGTACAAATTGTATACTCCTGCACCGCTGTCATATGATAACATTTTCAAATAACGAAATGCATGACTTATGCATTATAATTATTTAACGTACGTAATTCATCGTTAGACATAATTTATTTATTTATTTTCTTTAATGGACGTTGAATATAAAAGATTGTCTATGTCACTCCAATTCTTAATTGCAGAGGTTGCAGCATAAATTTGGTAAGGTTGTTGTCTTCACTTTGTATATTTTGTG